CCCCCCCCAGGTTCGGGAGACCCCAGTGTCCCAGAGCTGGATGCAGAGTAAGGGTTAAATGTCACCTCCCCCAGCTGCCCTCCACACCTGGCTCCCCAGCTCCCAGCTCCCCGTGGCTCCTCCTCCACCTCTGATGAGCGGAACTTTCTGGGACGGCGGCTCTCGGACAGCGCCTACCACGGGGCTCCCTGTAGCTCAAGCTCAAGGATCTGCTTAGGGCTGCCGGTGCCTCCAGCCAGAGAACCGTCCATCTGGTCAGGACCCAGGACCTAGGAGTTTTTTGTTTGTTTGTTTAAAGATTTATTTAATTTTACCCCTAGGAGTTTCATGTTTGTTTGTTTAAAGATTTATTTAATTTTATTTACTCATTCATTTATTTTAACTTGACCAGAGAGTGATAGAGAGAGAGAAAGTGAGAAAGCAAGCCATCAGATCTGGGACTCACACCATGGTCGGTCGGTCATATGGGAGAGTCCAGCGTCTTAGCCACCGCCCCACCTGCTGGTCCCCTAGAGGCTGAGCTTCACCATGGGGCTGGGGAACCCCGAGACCCTCTCTGCCAGCCTCAGGCAGGAACAGCAGCTCCTTGGGTCTGCAAGCCAGGGAGGGCGCCCCTTCTCACCCCCCATGCTCCCACAGTCCCCGAAGCTCCTGGCAGAACTGGTCAAAGCACAGGAGGACGGGACGAGGGGGTCCCAAGGCAGACACCTTTGCAAACTCGTCTGCTCCGCGCCTGATGGCAGGGCGCCCCCTTGCAGAGGGCGGAGGGAAGTGCAAGGTCACCATCAAGCCCTCCTTCCTCCTCCCTTCTCAGCCCCCTCCCTCCCTCTTTCCTGCTCTCTGCTGTCCTGCTTGCTCCCTCCCCCCTTTCACTCTCTCTCTCTCTCCTCTCTGTTAAGTTCACTGTCTGACTCTGCTTTCTTGTTTTCTTTTACTCTCCCCTTCCCCTGCTCTCTGCCCCAGCCCTTCGAGAAGACCAGAAGGGCTTCCTGGAGGAAGGGCTCCCCATCCTCTCAGTACTTTCTGCCCTCAGGTCTTTATGTAAAGAAGACCTTCTCTCTCTTTCTCTGTCTGTCTGTCTGTCTGTCTGTCTCTCTCTCTCTCGGGCATGTGTGCTAGCCAGAGACAGTGAGAGGAAAGTGAGAAATCAGCCCCCAGGGGATGGCCATGCAGTCCCTTCTCCTCCATTCTCCTCTCGGGATTTGGGTCATTCACGCACACACACTCCCAGAGAGATTCTCAAGCCACCGGGTCTGGCGCTCGAACCCCAAAGCTGGCCTGTGGGATCCAGCGTCCTCACCTCCCCACCTGCTGGCCCCATAAAGACCTTTCTAGCAGTGAGAACTGCTCAGCAATGGAAGGACTGTCTTGTCTGTGGCTCGCTGGTCACCGAGCGAGGCAGAGAGTCCTTCCTGAGTGTGGGCGGGGGGCTGCACCAGCAGCCCTTCAACCTCCAGGCTTCCCCACGTGCTTGCTCTGTCATTTCAGGTGGGGTTGAGCTCCCCCCACAGCATGCATTTAAAACCACACAGCCAGGGACCAGCAGTTGGCGTAATGGCTATGTCGCTGGACTCCCACGTAGTCAACCGCAGTTCGTGTCCCAGACCCGGTGGCTTAAACTCACGCCGGGCACATGTGCATGCGTGCCCAATATCCCGAGAGGAGAATGGAGGAGAAGGGATTGCGGTGTGGCCATCCCCCCGGGGGGTGATTTCTCGCTTTCTGTCTCTCTGTCTCTCTCTGTCTTTCTGACGAGCACATGCCCTCTAACAAAAACCTCTCCAATCAATCAATAATACACAGCTAGACCTCGTGCAGGAGTAGGTGTATTTGAAGACATTTTTTTTTCTAGTGAGAAAGAAGTTGTGTTTTCTCTACAGTTTTCATGTTTATTCACTTTAGTTCCATCTTCAAAGTACATTAATCATGACAGAGGCATTTTAGAAAAAGAGACTCGGGAACCAGCAGTTAGCGTAATGGCTATGTTGCTGGACTCCCACGTAGTCGACTGTGGTTCGAGTCCCGAACCCGGGGGCTTAAACTCTCGCTGGGTGCATGTGTGTGCATGCCCAAGATCCCAAGAGGAGAATGGAGGAGAAGGGATTGTGGCGTGGCCATCCCCCCTGGGAGGTGATTTCTCGCTTTCTGTCTCTATGTCTCTGTCTGTCTGGCAAGCGCACGCGCCCTATAGCGAAAAAAAAACCTCTCCAAAAAAAAAAAAAGAAAAAGAGACTAGAAGAAAACAATCATCCCTAATCCCATACCCTGACATAGTCACTGTTTACATCTTGTTTTCTTTTCATTAAAAAAAAACCCATATTATTATTATTTTTTAAATTTGCTAGCAGGCACAAGTGCTCTCCAGAGAGAGCGAGAGGGAAAGTGAGAAAGCAGACCACCAGGTCCAGGACTCGAACTGCGATTGACTGTATGGGAGTCCAGCGCCTTAACCACCGTGCCACCTGCTGGCCCCTCCAGTTTTTTCTTTGTTCTCTTTTTATATAGTTGGGTTTGGGTGTGGAAACAGCTCTGTGTCCCTTCTTGATTTCTTTCTCTCTCTTTTTTTTAATGTTTGTTTATTTATTGTTTCCATGAGAGAGAGGAAGAAACAGCACGCCAGCAGGGTCTTCGCGACCCACCGCCGTCTGAGGCAGCGCGGGTCCGGCACGTGCGTGCACTGGCGTGAACAGGCAGGGTCCCGGGTGCGAACCCAGGACCGTACCCCTGTGGGTCCAGAGTGTCGCTGCCCGCTGCCCTTGTTGGTTTCTGAGCACGGGGATGTGGCTGTCGTCACGTCATCGTCATGTTTGTCAATCTTAGTGACTGCTTAATACGCCGTGAGGCGGGCGCCTGTGATTCTGGGGGGCATTGTTTGGAATCCACAAAATCTGTGACCCCCTTCAAAGGTGGCCAAGTGGAAAGCAAGAAGGTTGCCAGAGAGAAGGGAGACAGAAAGTGAGTAACCCCACCCCTCCACCGGAGAGCACGGCCGCACCGCAGTCCCTTCTCCTCCGTTCTCTCTGGATGTTGAGCGGGCACACACACGCGCCCAGTGTGAGTTATTTTTTTAAGCCACCGGGTCTGGGGCTTGAACTACGGTCGACTGCATGGGAATCCAGCAACGCAACCACTATGCTGTCTGGTGGTCCCTAAGGCTGCCTTTCTTTCTTTTTTTTTGAGAGGTTTTTGCTATAGGGCACGTGTGACAGAGAGAGACATAGAGACAGAAAGCAAGAAATCACCCCCCAGGGGGGATGGTCACGCCGCAATCCCTTCTCCTCCGTTCTCTCTGGATGTTGAGCGGGCACACACACGCGCCCAGTGTGAGTTATTTTTTTAAGCCACCGGGTCTGGGGCTTGAACCGCGGTCGACTACATGGGAGTCCAGTGACACAGCCATTACGCCAGCGGCTGGTCCTGTGCTTCCGTGATTTCTCAGGTATCTCGTCAAAGGAGAGGTCGCCACATTCCTGTAGGACAGGAACGAGCGTGGTTCAGGCTGCTCTGTGCCCTGCTCATGTCGGGGGCTCCGTGGGGTCCAGTACAGGTGGCCCGTGGTCGCCGGGTGCGTGCTGTCACCTCCACTCTCCAGACAAGATCTGCAGGGCTGCAGATAGCCTCCTTCGTGGGGCTGGGGCTCCAGGGCCATGGGGTGCCGCCGGGGCTGGTGCTGACCGGCGGTTGCGGCTAACGGGCCGTCGGTTGCAGGATTTCTACGGAGCCGTTCTGCGGGCCTTGGATGACGTGGACCAAGAGGGCAGGGACGCGTTGGCCCGGGAGGAGCTGCGGCAGGGGCCGGGGCCATCCTGGAGCTGCACCAGGGCATCGCGGCCGAGCTGGAGGAGAGGCTGTCCAACTGGTGAGCCGCCCCGCACCCCCACACCCACTTCCCTTGCTTAGGGGGGATGGAGAGGGCCAGAACCACTACCCTGTGCTGTGGGGTCCCCGTCCCTGTCCCCACCGATGCTTGGAGAAGCCGAGACGCAGAGGCACGGTCATTGCCCAGGAAGACCGTCGGGCGAGGGTTGAGCTGGGACCTGCGCCCAGGCACGGGACGCCAGCACCCCCGCAGCCCTGCCTGGCTCCAGGCTGAGCCCTCGCTGCCTCATCCCTCCTGGCTGCAGGGAGGGCCAGCAGAAAGTGGCCGATGTCTTCCTGGCCCGGGAGCAGGACTTCGACCACCACGCCGCACACATCTTGCAGTTCGACCGCTGCCTGGGGCTGCTGGCCGAGAACTGCCTCCAGTCGACGCGGCTGGGCGCCGTCCGCCG